ATTGTTGAAGAATTATAAATAGATGACTTCTCCAGAGTTAGATATTGGCACTAATCTTGTTTAGTATTTTCTATAAATTCTCTGGTAGTGCACAGAGAAATATCTGTTTTTCAGATGACATTAAACATTTCCATGGGATTAACACCCAGAATTTAGTAATAACATGTGAGTTCTAACAATGCAAAATTAAGGTATTTCAGGGGGAAATTATCTTCAAATATTCTTGTTAAATAATTTCTAACTTTTTAAATAATTTTAATTTTATTATTATTTTTTAATTTGACCAGAGAGAGACAGAAAGAGAGGGAGAGAGAAAGGGAGAGACAAAGCTGCCAGGTCCAGGACTTGAATCACGGTTGGCCATGTAGGAGTCTAGTGCCTTAACCACTACACCACCTATCAGCCCCAAATAATTTCTAATTTTTACATTACAATGCCATAATGGAATTTAGGGACTTTCGTAGACTTGTTCTGTGCTCATTAGTATTACTTTTTAGCTGTGATTAAAAAAGGCCACTTAGGGGCCACCTCATGGCATGTGGGTTAAGGTAGCTGAATCCCACATGGGCAATACTGTGGTTTGAGTCCCGGACCCAGAGGCTTGACAGACATGCCAGGTGCATGTGCGTACGCACTCAAAATCTCAAAAGGAAAAATGCAGGAGAAGGGGTTTTATGACATGACTGTACCCCATAGGACATGCTTTCTTTTCTCCCTGTCTCTCTGGCTTTCTTTGGCAAATGCACATGCTTCTAGCCTACCCAAAAAAGAAAGGAAAAAAAGAAAAAAATGGACCACTTAAACACCAGGTCCCATAGAAAATTCTGAAAACAGAATAGAGTGACTGTCACACCCTTATAAATAAACCTTAGCATATACTTCTTGCAGTTTAGGTTGACATGCTTCAAGGATAATGTAATAACTGGAAGAGTTTCAGAGAAAATTGTGTAACCTGATTGGGGGATTATAAGAATCCCATATGAGGCTAAAGATTATATTAACTAGCAAGTCATGAAAGGTCTGGAATAAGGTAAATATACACGTATTAAGCAAATCCTGAAAAACTGGAACTATAGAACACCCTCTCAATGTCTGAAATAAGAATTCATGTGAGAGAGAAAAAGAAACACTGCTATTTCTCAGCGAGTAGAACAACATGGAAGAGCCAGCCATTATAGCTGCTTACTGTCATTACTCGGCTTCCCAGGAGGGATGTGCTCGCAAAACACATTTTTGTATTTTATAAGGAAATTTGGTTAAGATTAATTTCATTGTCCTAATCAGAACTCACATTTTAGTTAAATCTTGTTTCACTTAAAAACTCAGAATTTCTTAAGTATGAATTAGGCAAAAGGAAGTGGATAATTGATTACATGTTCTTAGAGAAAAGGTCTCCCCACAATAGAGAGTGAGTTTATTAGGTTATGAAGAAATAGGGCAACTTACTTAACCATAATGAACTGACAAGCAAGCATCTTTCAAAAAATAAAACAAGGCTCTGCATGATCTTTTACAATTTGTTTCCTTTTTTTTTTTTTTTTCATGATAGAGTTCAGGATCCTGGGCAAGTGCAGGTGTGCTGCAGGTGGGCCTGGGATTTGAACTGACATTGAGTATGTGGGATGCAACTTTTTTAAAAGCAGTACTTAACTGCTGTGTTTCAGGGCCTCGTCGCTGCATGATCTTGATAACACAAAGTTTAGGGGAAAAATTACTTTCACACTTAAAAGTATTAAAACTTAGGTTATCTTATACACATACACTATGAATATATATATATATATGTAATCAAAATGGTATATCATACTATTTTTCCCCTTGTGTATTTCTCAGGTTGCCTCGTTGGGACTCAAGGTGCCTGGTCAGTCACTTGGTTGTATCTTAATCACCACTACCACCTGGCCCTTTTTTTTTTTTTTTTTTTACTTTTTAATAAAATACATACATTTAAAAAGGTGCAGAAATATAGTATACAGATAAGTGTATTTTCATAAAGAAACAAATTTATGAAACCCCATCTAATCTAATGCACCAAATATATATTGCAAATATGTGAATATATGTACACATGTATATTTCATCTAGATTATTCACATACTAATCATTGATTGTAAATACTGAGGGTATTTTATTCATAACATTTATGAAGATTGAGATTTAATAGGATATATAATAGGGTTTCACTTAACTTTCAGGGGATGGTGACTTCTAAAATAAATTACTATGGTTGTTTTGATCTTTAGTATATTTTAAATAACCTACTTAACGTGATTGTTTTGAAATATAGGAGAAGTGAGATCCCAGAGTTTGGGGTAGAAGAAAGCAAAGTGTATCTAGTACTTTATCCATCTCACGCATGAACGCAACGTTTAGATTTTGTTTTTCAGCTTGACTGAGGCCATTAATTGTTTGTGGGTTTTTTTAAATTGTTGTTTGTTTTTGTTTTGTAAATGTGTATTTGTTAAAAGAAAGATCATTTTTAAAACGAGAAAAAAAAACTGCACACCTAACAGACATCTAATGGTGTTGCAGTATTGCAAATAATGTAAGGAAGGAACTAATTTTAAAGAAACAAATTTTCTTAAATTAAATACCGTGACTAAGTACTTTAATTCTCTTTCTTTGAACCCTAAAGGATCATTTGACATTGAACCTTTTTAATTAAAGGGAGCATTCTGAAAGCCTCAACTCCGTGGCTCTGAGGGGTGCGGGGCTTCCAGCCCGGCCTCCCCTAGCCCCCTGCCTGGTCGCCCTCCCCACGGCCCCCCTGCTCCCTCCCTATCGCCCTCGCCCCCCTCTTTCCTCCGCGTGACCCCTGACCCCAGCTAATCTGCATAGAGGAATGACAGGCATCCGCTGGGCTGGATCCGCCGCGCCGGCTGGGGGCGGCCCGGCTGGGGGACCCCGCGGGGGGGG